CTGAGCGCTGAATGAAACTGATTGGAGTCAGAGGACTGAAAATAAAGTTTTTAACAAGAAATCCAGCTGAATCCTGTTTATTCGGACATACCATATTAAAACACGTATTTCTTACAGTATGCTCAAAGCTGACTACCTGAATATACTGAGTGACCAGGTTATTCCATCAWTGGATTTTTTCTTCCCTGATGGCTCAGGCTTATTCCAAGATGACAGTGCCAGGATTCAACGGGCTGGAATTGTGAAAGAGTGGTTCAGGGAACATGAGACATATTCACACATGGATTGGCCACCACAGAGTCCAAACCTCAACCCCATTGAGAATCTTTGGGATGTGCTGGAGAAGGCGTTGTGCAGCAGTCAGACTCTACCGTTATCAATGAAAGATCTTGGTGAAAAATTGCAACACTGGATGGAAATAAACGTGTAAAATTGCAGAAGCTTATTGAAACAATGCCACAGTGAATGTGTGTCATAATCAAAGCTAAAGGTAGTCAAACAAAATATTAGAGGGGGTGACCTTGTATTTTGGTGGCGACTTTTTGTTTGGCCAGGCAGTGTATCTTCTGATAACCTCCAGAATTTTCTGTGATAGTCTCAAAAACTTATTGTGATAGTCTCGATGTGAGGATGTGTGTTTTGCTGTCCTGTGTTCTATCTCCCTCTTGTGTTCCCTCATTGTCATTATGTCTTCATCTCCTTAGCTGTTTATCTGCCATTCCCTTTTTGGGTTCATTCTTCCTGCATAACCTGATTGGAATGAACCAGTCATACTACAAGCCCACCAGGAGAAAGAGGTTTTTTTTGAGTTTATGGAAAAAGAGAACCTTTTTGTTCCACTCTGTGAATGGGGKAAGAGGACGACTTGGAGTGTGGCCAGGACTCAGCAGGTCCAACAAAAACAACCATCCGARTGGGTGGTTTCTGAATGATACCTGCTCAGACCACCCGGAGACGTGAACRTTGGGATCTGGAGATCGAGGTCCTCCCGTCCTCTCTCCTTCTGGAGGAAAAGGAGGAGAGAGAACGAAAACACAGTTCTGGGGGACTCCTTTGGMGCTGAAGCCCGCTCCACCATCCGGCTCCTCTCAGCGTCACCGGAGGAAAAAGATGGCGGTCCCTCCTGAGCCTGAGTTTGACCCTGACTACGATCTAGAAAGCGATCCCAACTGCCCTGATCGGTTACTGCTCTGCCAGGCCAATGATTTTCGGCTCTYCAGTGCCACCTCCACCTCTCCCGTCAGCATCACCTCCGAGAGGGTCCCAGACGCCTCCTCCAGTGCCGCCTCCGAGGGGGTCCCAGATGCTTCTCCCTCCTGTGCCACCTCCAAGAGGGCTACTGAGACCTCTAGCTTCCTGCACCTCCGATAGAATTGACGCATCCACCTCCTGTGCTTTCAGCGCCTCCAAGAGGGTCAAGATCTCTACTTCCTGCACTCCGGCGAGGCTGGACGCCTCCACCTCCATCTGTACTCCAGAGAGGCTAGACGCCTCCACCTCCATCTGTACTCCRGCGAGGCTTGATCTCTCCACCTCCATCTGCRCTCCAGCAAGGCTCGACGCCTCCACCTCMGTCTATGTTCCCCACAGCGTTGACGCCTCTACCGGTCCCTGTGCTCTCCAGAKRGTYGACGTTTCCACCTCCTGTGAGTARGGTCTTGAGGGGAGGGAGGTGGTGGTCACCACCCTGGCTGCTGTGGTCTTGTTCCTGACTGCAGCTCTGGTGGAGGTGTTGTCCGCGCCTGCTGTGACTCCAGAATCCTCAGAGCCAGAGCCTGCACCAGAGTCCTCAGAACCGGAGCCAGTGTGTGAACCCTCAGAGCCAAAGTCCTCAGAACCGGAGCCAGCATCAGAGTCCTCGGAGCCTGAACAAGCACCTGAGTCTACAAAGCCCCCGAGTCAGATTGTAAAGTCCCAGGGTCAGCCTGAGCCTACAGAATACCCGGGTCAGATTGTGAAGTCCCCGGGTCTGCCTGAGGTTCCCAAGGGCTCCATGCCGGTCCCTGCACCTGAGTCCATGCCTGTATCGTCTGCAGCTGAGATCTCCACGTCGGTGAGACCTGAGCTCTCATTGCCAGATTCAGTTCCAGAGTCTCCTGAGCAGGCCCCTACAGAGTCTCCTGAGCAATCCCCTCCAGAGTCTCCTCTGCCGGCCCCTCTAGAGTCTTCCAAGCCCCATCCTCGTCGTGGCCGGGCTCCAGGCTGCTTACCTGAGATCCACCTCTGCTGCGGCTGGATCCGCGGCCGTCCACCAGAGTTCTGCCTCCAACGTGGTCGGATCCACGGCTGTCCACCAGAGCTCCGCCTCCGATGCGGCCGAGTCCACGGTTGCCCTCCAGAGCTCCATCTTCGCTGCGGCCAAGTCCACGGTCGCCCTCCAGAGCTCCATCTTCGCTGTGGCCGGGTCCAGGGTCGTCCTCCTGCACCCCTGCCTCGTCTTCGTTGGGTCCCTGGGCACCCACCTGAACGTCCTGCCCTTCAGATGTGCCTAGAGCCATCTTTGTGACTATTTTTGTTGTTTTCTTTCCCCAAGACTTACCTGTCGGTTTTTGGTTTCGTTTTCTGTGTCTTTTGTGTTTCTTTCATTGTCTTTTGTCTCGTGCCCTCCGTCCTGTCTTTGTGTTCGTACCTCCCACCTCCCACCCGTGCTTGTCCGTTAATCATCAGGTGACGATTCGTTGGGCGTGGGGG